GAATGAAACAGCAGCTTTCTTGAGAATAATTTTGTTAAAAATCACAGATAGCTCCAGAAAAAGCTATTGGTGGTTGTAATCCAAATTAAAGTCATGCAAGTGCCAAAATGATACCAATATTTAAGTAATTCATGATGTCATTTACGCTGCAATGAATGCAAGAGACTTTGTAAGATAATCAAAACTACAAATGTATTCTAAAGGCCCCTTTATACTTATAACTTTAATTCAAATCCTAAGAATATGACAATTATGAGCCAAGTGCCAAGTGCCAAGTGCCAAGATTTACATGACTAAATCCAGATTCCTTATCCTAGCAACAGAGACAGACATGAGAAAACTTGGTCTACGAAGTAGCAACCAAGATGACAGGAATAGACATTGCAATGTAAAAATTTGAATACTAATCTTCCAGACTAAAACGTAAAACTAATCAATACAAATGTTTTTAACCATAATCAATGAGCTTCATTGTTGCTCATCTATTTTACATCTTTTATTCCCTATTTATTGTCTTTTATTCAGTGATATGTGTAAGTTTAGATTATAAATTGCTCCAAACTGCTATCAACACATTACTTGATAAATGTGGATCAAAAAAGCATGGCAAATCTCAGAATTTTTCCTCCATGGGGCAAAGTACTCATGTATTATAATGAGTTTGTCTCTCAGGTGATCTGTCAAAGAGGAAGCTTAATTTGAAAGAATGCTTAATTGAATCTGAACTAGCTTAGAGTTTAAACCATGGTCTCTAGAATTGTAATATAGTATTCTGTATCTAAAATTAATGTGCTGACAACAGTTAATTGAAATTGAAACTTACAGGGAAATGCAATGTATTTTTACAATTACCAATATTCAAACTTTAATTCAATAAAAACTTCAGGCATTTAAATAAAGATATTACTTTTACGTCAGCAATATCACTCAAGTCATAAGGTTTTGGGTTCAGAAACTGCAGCACAAAATCTTACAATGATCACCCATTGTCAGTTGTGCTGGATTTTGGATGAGTCATTACACCAAGACACTGTCTGCCCACTTGGTGGATATATAAAAAAATCACTATGGGACTCCTGCGGCACAATGGCTATCCGCCTACCTCTGCTTAGAACATATTGGTTCAAGTTCCACCTGCCATACAGCTGTGTCATAACATGTCTGAATTACCACTGTACATTCATTGTGAAGACCAAGCCCATCATAGTGAGGACACCCTCGATCGTCTTTGTGTGACAGTAAGCATTTTTGATCATCATGTTCAAACTTGTAACAAATGTCTGTAGCAGGAGGACGTGAACTTGGACCTTGTGGCCAAGAGGTAGGGACTCTACCACTGTGCCACAACAGCTCCTGTGTGACTGTACTATTGTTCTGAGATAGTCTTAGGAGAATTTAGCAACTAAAAGCTCAGGATCCACGTGCTAGAGGCCAGAACCAGTCACCTCATGGCCTGATGCATATTTTATTCTTTATTAATTCACAGAATGTGGACTTTGCTGGGTAGGCCAGCATTTATTGCACACCCCTACATGTCCTTGAGAAGATAGTGGTGAGCTATTTTCTACAGCAGTCTATATGATATAGTACATCAGTGATTTTAGCAAGGGAGTTCAAGCACTTCAAATGAGTGACATTCAAAACAATTAAGCAGTGTTGCATGCAGCAAAATCTGGACAAACATTAAGTCTTGGGCTGAAAGGATGGTAAAGTTCAGGTTGCACAAATACAAGACAGGAATGGCTCCCAACATGGTGTTTAACTGCACATTACAAGATAAGGCTGATGCATTCACAACAATCTTTAGCCAGAAATGCCAAATAGATAATCCATCTCTCTCCTGTAAAGGGCCCCAGCATCACAAATGCAAGTTTTCAGCCAATTAAGTTCACTCCACATGACTTTGTGAAATGGCTGGAGGTACTGAATACTCCAAAGGCTGTGGACTCTGGCTACATCCCAGCACTACCACTGAAGACTTGTGCTCCAGAACTTCTCTCATCCCTAGCCAAGATGTTCCAATGCAGCTACAACACTGGTATCTACCCAAACCTGTGGAAAATTCATCTTGATATTTTCAGTACACAAAGCAAGACAAATCCAACCTAGCCAATTGCATCGTCTACTCTTGATCATCAGTAAAGTGATGGAAGGTGCCATCAATAGTGCTATCAAGCATCACTTACTTAGCAGTAACTTGCTCACTGATGGCATTTTGGGTTCTGTCAGTGCTTAGCTCCTGACCTCACTGCAGCCTAGGTCGAAACAAGGACAAAACAGCTAACTCCAGAGGTGAACTAAGAGTGCCTTCCTTGGACATCAAGGCCACATTTGACAAAGTGTGGCACTGAAGAACCCAAGCGAAACAAATTGGTGGGAATCAGGGTGAAAACTCTCTGCAGACTGGAGTCATACCTGATGCAAATGAAGATGTTGGAAGACTGGAGGTTGGCTAACATGATGCCATTATTTAAGAAAGGTGGTAAGGAAAAGCCAAGGAACTATAGACCAGTGATCCTGATATCAGTGGTGGGCAAGTTGTTGGAGAGAATCCTGACAGACAGGATTTACATGTATTTGGAAAGGCAAGGACTGATTAGGGATAGTCAACATAGCTTTGTGCATGGGAAATTGTGTCTCACCAACTTGTTTTTTTTTTTAAAAGAAGTAATGAAGAGGATTGATAAGGGCAGAGTGGTGGACATGATCTATATGGACTTCAGTCAACAAGACTCCTCATGGCAGACTGTTTGGCAAGGTTAGATCATATGGAATACAGGGAGAACTAGGCATTTGGATACAGAACAGGCTTGAAGGTAGAAGACATAGGGTGATGGCGAAGGTTTGCCTTTCAGACTGAAGGCCTTGACTAGCAGTGTGCCACAAGGATCAATGCTGGGTCCACTGCTTTTTATACATGATTTGGATGTGAACATAGGAGGTATGGTTAGTAAGTTTGCAGATGATACCAAAAGCGGAGGTGTAATGGACCGTGAAGAGCGTTACCTCACAGTACAATGCGATCTTGATCAGAAGGGTCGAGTAGTGGCAGATAGGGTTTAATTTAGATAAATATCACACGCTGCCTTTTGGAAAGGCAAATCAGGGCAAGACTTATACACTTAATGATAAGGTCCTGGGGGTGTCGCTGAACAAAGAGGCATTGGAGTGCAGGTTCATAGTTCCTTGAATGTAGTGTCTCAGGTAATCAGGATGGTGAAGAAGGCATTTGGTATGCTTGCCTTTATTGGTCAGTGCATTGAGTATAGGAGTTGGGAGGTCATGTGGAGGCTGTACAGGACATTGGTTAGGTCACTTTTGGAATACTGTGTACAATTCTGGTCTCTTGCTAGGGTTCAAAGACTTGAGCAACAGGGAGAGGCTGAATAGGCTGGGACTATTTTCCCTGGAGCTTCGGAGGCTGTGGGGTGACCTTATAGAAGTTTATAAAATCATGAGGCATGGATAGGGTGATTAGCCAAGGTCTTTTCCTCAGGGTGGGGAGTCCAAAAATAGAGGGCATAGGTTTAAGGTGAGAGGGGAAAGATTTAAAAGGGACATAAGGGGCAACTTTTTCACACTGAACATGGTGCATGTATAGAATGAGCTGCTGGAGGGTGCTACAATTACAACATTTAAAAGGCACCTGAATGGGTATATGAATAAGAAGGGGTTAGAGGGATATGTGCCAAATGACTAGATTAATTTAGGATATCTGGTCAGCATGGATGAGTTGGACCCAAGGGTCTGTTTCCATGCTATACAGCTCTAATTGGATGGTTAAAAGATCACTTATTTTGAGGAAGAGATTAGGAGATCTCCCCATTGTAATAGCCAATGTTTAGCCTTCAACAAATATCAAACAAATCACTTGATCAGTTTGCCACATTACTGTGTGTGAGACCTTTTTATGTTTTCCTAATTACAATAAATGACTACACATCAAAATACTTCAATAGTGGTTAGGCGCTTTTGGGCTTAAGTTGTGAAAGGTGCAAAAGAAACACATGTTTCTTCTTTACTATCGAGTCCCTGTTTATACTGAAAGCTTGGAACCCATTTATTTTACTCCCAACGTGGCAATTCAACTTCTTTTATTCATAAAATGGAACAAACTGTTGAAGCAGCTTTTAAGCCTCCTACCTTAAAAGAGTAGCAGAACGTAATTAAAACCACACACCTTGGGAAGTAATCAATTAAGATTGTGGAAATCCTACATATATTTTACGAGGTAATCTGTCAACTTTACATACAGTTTGCCTCAAGAGCAAAGTTAAACATGCAAACCTTATTATATTCGAATGGTGCTCGTGATTTTTATTTTGTTGTTGCCGTTTGATAGTTTGAAGCACTTGATGGGAACTCACGCCCGGCAGAGCAGCTCATTAAGCTCTTCCAGACCACGCCTACTCTTACAAACATAGTTTTAAAAACAAAAAAGAACTTACATACTAAACACTGAATCCAAACCAAACTTGGTGCCAATTTTTTAATCAACAACTAATTCGTTTTCAACTTCGATCGTGCTTTTTATTTTAAATACAAGGAAGAACTACTTTATAAAAGATTCTGTCGACAGGGATTCCAGGATCGGAGGCCAATTTTTCAACGCACCACCACTACCTACACCCCCGCCACCACAATCCCACCACCTCCACCTCCTCTTGCACATGTTACAGCATTTAGTAAACTGCAAAGGAAAAAAAAACATAAATCTGGCCGATGAAGAACGGAGAGGTGAAACAGCCACAGAAAGTAGGTATTTTTAAGAAGTGATTAAAGCAGGGCGAAGCACAGCCAAATGCAGCGGCCGATAGCCTCGGACTTTCCTTATACAATAAGGCGGTCTCTCCAGCGGACACCGAGAAGTTGTATGCTTTCTCCACCGACCCCAGGCTAACAACATTAGGCCTCAAAGCCCCCGATTTCTCTTTTCCTCTCTCACACATATACACACAGGGGGGCGCACGTTCAGCCCTAGTCTCCGGGCGCCTTCTTACCTGGACTTGACGCCACTGCCCGCCCGCTCGTACGGCCACGTTTGTCCGCCGGGCGCCAGCGGGTCGCTGAAGTTGGGGGCCGGGTAATTCCTGTCCATGGTTTTTTTTTACCCCGAGTGCGCCGCGCTCGTGGGGGCTGGGTTGGTCGTCACATGCCTCGCGCCAGCGGGGCGGCCGTTGGGAGTTGAGGTGCTCGCGCTAGTGGGGCGGCCGTTGAGAGTTGCGGGCCTCTCGCTGCAGTGCTGTGCTGTGTGAGGGCGAGCGGCAGGCCGATGGATGCACTAAAAAATCCGGCAGTGAGAAGTGGCGAAGGTCTGGATATCCAGGCAACCTGACTTTCTGATTTTTTTTCCTCTCTCCCTTCTCCAGAACGTTTAGTTTTCTCCCAGGATGCACCTCCTTCTACTCCAAAGCTGGCGGAAAGGAAACCGCTAAAACGTAAGGAATCGGGGAGGGGACAAGAGTAATGGCTGGCTATTGTTAGAATGTCCAGGCCCATTGTATCTGAGTTGTTTTGCTCATGCAGGATAGCTGAAAAACACAATGGTTGAGATTGCTACGGCTTCAGCGCCTAGTACCAGATTTTAGTTGGACTTGCTAGTGTTTGATTTCCTAATTCCGCAACACACAGGTTTTCTAATGCTTGATTGTACAAAACAAAAACCATTTTCGCACAGCTGACACTTCTAATGCTGTAGTGAGTGCCGCACTATCGAAGGTGCGTGTTTTCGACAAGACCTTAAACTGAGTTTGGAGATAGTAGGAACTGAGATCTTAAACTGAGTTTGCTCTGTGCAGTGGACTAAAAAGACACGATTTTGAAGAGCAAGGGACTTTTATGCATGTTGATCTGTACAATTTATTTTCTTATTTATACCTCAAAATTAACATTAGTTAATAACAATAATAATGTTTGTGGGAGAGATAGTAGGAATTGCAGATGCTGGAGAATCTGAGACAACAAGGTGCAGAGCTGGATGATCACAGGAGCAGGAAGGCTGACGTTTCGGGCCTAGACCCTTCATCAGAATTCTGAAACGTCAGCCTTCCTGCTCCTGCGATGCTGCTTTGCCTGCTGTGTTCATCCAGCTCTGCACCTTGTTGTCTCAATAATGTTTGTGGGATTTGCTGGGGTACAGACTGGTTAGGTTAGTGACTAAATTTCTAAGGTTACAACATTTAAAAGATATTTGGATAGGTACGTGAATAGGAAAGGTTTAGAGGGATATGGGCCAAACGCAGGCAAATGGGACTAGTTTAGTTTGGGAAACCTGGTCAGCATAGACGAGTTGGACCAAAGGGTCTGTTTCTTTGCTCCATCTTTGGCTCGAAAACACATTGCGATTAACTTTGGACATGAAAATTGGTACCTAAATTCAAGTGTGTCTTTCTTTAAAATGAGAACTTTTTATCTCTAGTATGTTTACAAAAAAACATACAAGTGATAAAAGATTAGTTAAAGGAAGGACAGGGAAAAGGAATGCTTTCTGGATGCTGAGGTACTGAATGAGTCATTTGCATCAGCATTCACCCAAGATTGGACACGGCCAATCTGCTGCAGTAAATGAGGCAGTAGGGAAACTAAATATGATAAAAACATAGAGGAAGTATGTAATAGTTGGCAATATTCAAAGTTTAAAAAGAAGTCAAAATGCTGAAACTTCCTAACAGTACTATGTATGTACGTGGAAGATTGCAAATGTTATTTCCTTTAAAAATACTAATAGCTAGTATAGTTGGGGAAACTTTCAGAGACAACAATCTGGGACAGTCTTGTGAAATGAATTGTTAATAAATTAAAGCCAAAATAATTTTCTTAAAAGGCAAATAAAGTTTGATGCAACGAAAACACAAACTGCTGAAAAATCTCATCAGTCTGGCAGCATCTGTGGAGTGAAATTAGAGTTAATGTTTCAGGTCTAGTGACTCGTTTTTCAGAACCTTGGTTCCACATAGATGCTGCCAGACCTGCAGTACACTAAATACACTACACTGCAGTACTGTACTGTGCAATACATTAACTACACCACACTCAACAACCCTCTCCATTACTTCATTACAGAACCCACTTAAGCTAATCAAACTTGAAACCAAAAGAATTGCGGATGCTGGACATCTGAAACAAAAACAACATTTCTGTAACCTCTCAGCAGATCTGGCAGCATCTATGCCAAAATGAAGTTCTGAAGAGTCACTGGACCTGAAACGTTAACTCTAATTTCTCTCCACAGATGCTGCCAGACCTGCTGAGATTTTACAGAAATTGTGTGGGTTCATTTATGAAGTAATGGAGAAGGTTGTTGAGTGTGATATGATTGATTTGTATATCGACCTTCAAAAGGCATTTAATAAAGCACAAGTTTATAACAAATCATAAACTTGTTCTCCAAATAAAAGTCAATTGGATTATAGGAGCAATAGAAGTCCAGATGCAGGATTGGCCACAGAACACACTGTAGTGGTGAATTGCTGACTTTAAGCACAGAGAAGTGTACATTGGCCTTCCAGGTGAAGCAGTGATTTACCCGCACTTCATTCAATCTAGTCTACCTGTATTTGCTGCTCACAATGTGGTCTCTGCACTGGGGAGAAAAAATGCAAAATGTGTGACCACTTTGCCAAACACCTTTACTCTATCTGTAAAAATGACCCTGCGCTTCCAATTCAAGAACAAAAACAGAAGTTGCTGGAAAAGCTCAGCAGATCTGGCAGCATCTGTGAAGAAAAAAATCGGAGTTAACCTTCCTCAGAACTTCCAATTGCCTGTCACTTCAACACACCACTGTGTTCCCATGCCAATATTTCTGTCTCAGGTCTGCTGCAGTGCTGCAGTACTCCAGTAAAGCTCAATGCAAGCTGAAGGGACTCCATCTTATCTTCCAACTAGGTACCTTACAGCCCTCAAAATTCAGCATTGAACTTAACAATTGAGTGTGAACACCTTCCTCCATATTTGTTACCCACCCCAATACCTGCAAGTTCTATTTTCCCAGCACAGCCAACCTATTTTCAACTGTTCACACTTCCTATTAGCGCCCATTCAACATTTACTTCTCCCACAACCTATCATCAGCAATCCCTTTGCTTCTTTTTGTTACCTTTCTCTGGGTACAATCTCCATCTATTTGAGTCACTCCTTTCCCCCACTACCTGTCATCAGCATAAATTTGCCAAATGCTTTCAGTTCTGATGAAGGGTCACTGGACTCAACATTAACTCTATTTTTCTCCCCAAAGATTCTACTAGACTTGCTGAGTTTCTCCAGCACTGCTGTTTTAGTTTCAGATCACCAGCATCCACAGTTCTTTATTTTAGTTAAGTGTACAGTGGTACTGCTTAGGGGTCAATAAAAGGACCACAGCTATTTTAAATCTATATTAATGACTTGAAGTTTGCGTTGTAGGCCTAACTTCGAAATTTGCAGATGATAAGAATCGGTACATTAGCAAACAAGATAGTTATAGACTTCAGGGTGTCCGAGGCAGTTTGGTGAAATAGGCAAGACATTTGGCAAATGAAATTTGTTGCAGGAGTGTGAAGTAATTCATTTTGGCAATTTTTAAAGTAGGTTCAGGAAGAGAAGCCTGGTTATATACTGCAAGTTTGCCTCCAAGCCATTCACTATCCTGACTTGGAAATGCAGTTTCTTCTTTCTGCTGGGTCAAAATCCTGGAATTCCTTCCCTAAGGGCATTTTGAGTCTACCTATAGCAGTTGAAGAAGGTAGCTTACCACCACCTTCTCAAAGGCAACTTGGGATGGGCAATAAATGTTGGCCAGCCAGCGACACCCATGACCCACGAATGAATATAAAAAAACACAAGTAATCAAAGATATGAGGATAACACGAGAAAGTTATTAAAGTCTATGGAATCCTTAGCTTCAGAAATAGAGGCAGTGTGCACAGAAGCAGGGAAACTGTGCTAAAATACTATTAGGCTCCAAACTAGGATATTGTGGCCAATTTTGTGCACAACATTTTCGGAAGGAAACCAATACTTTGGAGATTGTGCAAGGAGATTTACCACTAATGGTTTGACAAGACAAACTGGTGTTCTGTTTAAAGCAGAGTAGGTTAGAGCAAGATTTGATTGAAGCATTCAAAATCTTCAAGGATTTGAATTATGTAAATAAGAATAAACTATTTCCACTTGCAGAAGGTTCTGTAACTTGAGGGCACAGATTTATGGTAATTTGCAAAGAATCAGAGGCAGCTTACTGGGAAAAAATAATGCAATGAGTTGTTCAAGTTTGGAATACATTGCCTGAAAGGGTGTTTGAATCATTCGTAAAATGTTTTTGTTTATTATTTCATAGGCTGGCTAGGACAGAATTTAATACACTCAAATTGCCTTTGAGTGAATGGTAGTGAGCTGCCTTCTTGAATGACTACAGTGCATGTAGTTTCTTAAGGGAGGCAGTTCCAGGATGTTGACCGAGGAACAAATGAAGGTTTGGTGATATAGTTCCAATTCAGGATGGTATGGGGTTTGGAGGAGAACTTGCAGGTGATGCTGTTCCTATATATCTGCAGCCTTCTCCCTTCTAGTGGAAGAGGTTCAGTGGGTTTGAAAGGTGTTGTCTAAGGCTGCCTTGGTGAGTTATCACAGTGCATCTTGTATACGGTACACACTACTGTGCCGGGCGGCACGGTGGCTCAGTGGTTAGCACTGCTGCCTCATACTGCCAGGGACCTGGGTTCAATTCCAGCCTCGGGTGACTGTGTGGAGTTTGCACATTCTCCCTGTGTCTGTGTGGGTTTCCTCGGGGTGCTCTGGTTTCCTACCACTGCCCAAAGATGTGCAGGCTAGGTGGATTGGCCATGCTAAATTGCCCAAAGTACCCAGGGATGTTTAGGTTAGGTGGGTTAGACATGGGAAATCAAGGGTAGGGAATGGGTCTGGGTGGGATGCTCTTCAGAGGGGCGATGTGAACTTGTTGGGCCAAATGGCCTGTTTCCATACTGCAGGGATTCTATGATATCTATGATCCTGTCATTGTGCATTGGTGGTGGAGGAATTGAATTTTGAAGACGTTGGGTGCTAAACAACTGGGGTGCTTTATGGTGTAAAACTTCTTTATTGTTGTGAAAGCTACATGCGTGCAGACAAGTAGAGAGTATTTATCATACTCCTGACCCATGCCTGGTAGATGGCAGACAGGCATTGAGGAGTCAGGAAGTGTTTCTTTTGCTGCAGATTTCCAAGTTTCTGACTTGCTGTTATAGCCACAGTATTTATATGACTGGTCCAATTCATCATAGAACATGGAACAATACAGCACAGGAACAGACCTTTCGCCCCACCATGTCTGTGACGATCTTAACGATCATTCTAAACTAATCCCATCAGCTCGCACATGGTCTGTATCCCTCTATTCCCTGCCTATTCATGAGTCTGTCTAAATGCCTCTTAAAT